GTCCGCTTAGGTTCTCCGGCCAACGCCACACATCCCAATAGTTACGGCCCGACCGGTGCGGGGAGAAGAGGTCCAAAGCCATTGTCTCTCACCGATGATAACCAGTAGTTATAATAGGATTTAATTAATAGTAAATATACTGTAATAGTGTTAAAGATTTTAGTATTGGTTTTATTTTATACGTGTTTAACAAACGCAGCGCTAGTTATATACCTTTTTTCATGTGTTTGGCGGCGAAGCGATCGATACTCAAAGGGGTTGCGAATGAATGCGAATGCGTTCGGCAGTGAAGCCAATGTCTGTCAGACAGTGTTATAGAATATTCTAATGTTTACCAGTAAAAGTAACCTTGAGTTGTTTACGAAATTATACTTTTATTTCATTGCGATTGCGTTAACACAATGTCATACAAAATCATATATTATATTCAGTTAATACTGTAGTAATGTCACTTTTTTGTATATTTTTCGAGTTTTTAACCTAAATATTAAATTGTTTTTACCGAGATTATTTTAATAATTTCAATAATGATTAATTTGATTAACAATTGTGTGTAATTTGCTTATGTTAGAGTATAATAACAATTAGACTGTTTACATTATAAACATTGCATTTGTATAATTAAATCAATTTATGAACTGGTTTTGTATGAATACGTATATTCCTAACATAATTGTGCGAGGACAGTATTTTACATAAACCATTCATTTTAAACAAAATAAAGTGTTTTAATTATACAGGCAATAGTTAGGAGTATAATAAAAAAAATAAATTATCGAGATTAAAATAACGAGCAAAATAATGTATATAATATAAAGTTAAATGATATATACTGTATTGAACAAGTTCAAATTATTAGTTCAAGTTATTATTATTTCGTTATTTAGCGCCTCTTTTGTAGTGATAACAATCGGTAAGTTTATGTGCAGATCAATGGCGTACGGTATGTCCAGGGTCAAGTGCGCAAAGTATTTCACTGTGATCAAGCTACTTTTGAACGACAGGGGTAGGCCCTGGGGAATACCCAGTACAAATGATTCCATACCCGTGGCACTACCCTTAATCACCTGACCCACGAGGGCGTCCGTGAGGGCCACATCCACTGCCTTATGCCGTTCGCCACACATGTAGACCTGTGTCTGGTATAGCGTGACCCGGGGTGTCGCGTCCAGACTCGACCTGTTCCATATAAAGCAGTCCACTTCTATAGAGTGTCCTAGTTCATTTCATGAGACAATTTAAAATATATTGCATTCTATCTAAAGTGTGAAACATAAACATAAAGTATGATAAACATACCTGATTCAAACCCTTTTTTCACAACGCTAGCGTACATTTTGATCTGTGATCGGGATCAATTTAAATTATATGATAGAAAGCTAAATATGATAGGTTAGTGAATATTACCGATCCAACTCCAACGCTGGGGAACGTGAACACCTTTTCAACGGTGCCGTCGACCGACACCTAATTTACAGTTATTTTGAGTGTAATATTTAGTAACAAATAAATACAATCACCATGCTCAATCCGGGACATACGTGCAAATTGTTTCGCATGGGAGCCTGTACTGTGATCCCCGTCTTAACCGTCTGCACTTCGTCCACAGTGGTCTCATCGATGGTTACTTCCACATAGTATTCAATCACTCCGTGGTCACTCTCGTACGATGGCGCAATGTCCCTGCTCAGTTATACAGGGTATTCATTATCTCATTTTATAATTATTGTTTAAATTTTTATACTAACTCAACGGGCAGTTTAAAATCAAAGGGTATTTGGTGCTTGCCAGGTTCAAGGTGTTTTAATGCTACTACAATGAAACAATATATATATGATGTATTCTGAGTGATCAGGGTCATACTATACTCACCCCCACCCCTAATACATACATTGATCGGGAATTCTATAGACAAAGTAAATGTATGTCTTTTGGTCGCTATAAGTATGGCCTTCCCTGTGATGACGTAGACCAGGGTTTTCGACCCAGCTTGTTTTAGTCTGGCATGTTAGCGCGATTCTCACCTTGGACACCTCCATTCGGCCACCGGTTACTGTGAAGCTCACCGTACCATTCACTGTGTCGCCGGGCATGTAATTCCGTTTGTTGCCCTCCAGACTAATATCCAGGTCTTTTAGTTGTATTTTATCCATGTTTTGGTACTGTTATAAATTTAACATGTTAATTTAAAGTTAATATTTTAATTGTAAATTTATATAAATATCTTACCGTGTTATATTAATTAATTAATTATATCCAAAATTAATAAATTTGTTATTGAGTTGGGAATCCTACTTCACTTCACTTCACTTCACTTGACTTAGGGTATAGTTTTGTTTATTGAATACTTCAAAATATTTTCATCAATATTTTGTTCAAGGTCTTCGCGAAATGTTTATTAGTTTCAATACAAAACAATTGAATGCGCATATGCTGTCTGTTACTATGTCTATAATTACATAATCTCTCTCTCTCTCTCTCTCTCTCTCCCACTCCCTCCCTCCCTCTCTCCCTTTATATTACAACTTATCTCAACAAAACCCTAAACTTTATTTATAGAAATACTTTATTTACTCGAAATTATATCGTAAATTAATCTAGCATATATAAACAAAATGTGCGCATACACACTAATTATAGTAACCTTTCAGTTTAAGTACTATTATCTCTCAGTCGACGTATAAATAGCTGGCATTCACTGGAAAACAGTATATATTTTACAATTTAAGGCTTAAATAAATCATTATTAAATTTATACGACTTTATAAAGTTATTTATAAAGTGTTAAAAAGTAAGATATAAACAAAATATGACATCCCTGGGCGATAATACCGTTCCTATTGATGGCAGCATTAAAATACTATTCATGAGTGCGGACGGAGTGGTGTCCGAGTGTGGCCTCCGGGGGCTTATCCGCCAGTTGTCGGTGACACCGGCCGTCGCCACTATCATATCAACGCTGGCCAGTGGTGTGCAAAAGGGTCGCCCCATAGATGCCATTCCCTTCACAGAGAAATGGGCCACAAATAAAGCGCTGGCAGTGCTGTGCGAATGGGTCGACCATCACGTGGCCGATCGGGACTCGGCGGACGTGTCGGTCGAGTCGAGTGACAATCCCTATGATATCCAACCTACCGGTGCACTGGTTTTGTCCGAGTGGGACAGACAGCTGTTCGATAGGACGGACACCTCTGTCATGAACGACGTCCTGCAGACGGCTATCCATTCGGGCGTTACAAACCTGGAGTACCTGTGCGTTGAGTATTTAATTAAGGATAATACTACCGGCGCTACTACAGGGCCACAAAATGATTAGCCGTTTGTTTAGCGTATTTACTATTTTATTATTAGCTAATAACGAGTAAATATAAATTTAATGGTTTTTGAATAAAAAAAATTGCCTAATATTGTTATAATACACATATTATACTTGTATTACAAAACTTAATTTTGTACGTAATTATGAGCTGGATATTTATACAGTTATGTAGGTTTTGAAGTAATTTAATTGTGTTCAAAAATATGCAATTTATTTTATCAAATAAAACTATTGCAAGCTTTCGTATATGTATTTGTCTTACATTTAAAACAGTATTATTGCTAACAGGCAACAAGGTGTTTTGCTTGGATTTCTATGTTTATCAAGATAAATTCATTTTGTAACCGATAAAATTAATTTTATGCAGTATTTGATATGATTTTAGGTTACTTTAATTAATGTTAATAAAATGTTATTGAAATATAAAGTAAGTTTTAACATGAGATAATGCAATTACGGGCTCTCATATTATGTTTATTATTAGGCTCACAATAATAAATTTTTTATTATTATTCTGTATAATACTACAGTAACTGTAATAAAAGTTTTATTTCATTCAAATTATGTTCACAAACTGTATGACAGATGGCACTCGTGTTGGTGTTTACTATGAGTTCACTCACTGTCTGTCACTCAATGTGTTTGTAAACAGTGTCTGAGATTTCATTGTGTTTTGCATTCATTTCAATGATTCACTCGTTTTTAATATTAATTGCTTTTCATTGAAACCAATCATTCAATGGATTTACTGCAAGACGTGTATTGATAGCACATTCACACCATTCACAGCACCGGTAGTATTGAGTCAGTCATAGAGTGTTATGTTTTTCACACAACTATTCACTAATTATTTGTTTTTTACTTTTCATTCAGTTTTTGTCGAAACAAGTCATCAATTGATAGCAAAGTATTGTCTCATAAGTGGTGAGAGGAATGACCGCAAGAAGTGGTCATACAATGAATGCACAGAAAGTCTATCCGAAAGACAGTATCGACCGCTTCGGCGATGATTTGTGTCAACACTTATTGTCTTTCCTATCACT